ACATGAACCTGATTTCTCCTATCAATTTCTTTGTTTTTTAAAGATTTTATTTATTTATTTGAGAGAGAGAGAATGAGAGACAGAGAGCACGAGAGGGGGAGGGTCAGAGGGAGACGCAGACTCCCCGCCGAGCAGGGAGCCCGACGCGGGACTCGATCCCGGGACTCCAGGATCATGACCTGAGCCGAAGGCAGTTGCCCAACCAACTGAGCCACCCAGGCGCCCTCTCCTATCAATTTCTAAGGAGTTTTAGAACCAATATTTTCAATTAGTATATCCCATATACATCATATTCTTAGTTCTCTAAGACCAAATTTTGTCACTACCACCCACCATCTCTACCTTGTTGTCTTGCCTTCAGTTAACTGTTTATAATCTGAAATTATCTTTTACATGTGGTTTTCTGGTTAACTTGTTAGAATTAAAACATCATTCCATCAGGGACTTTATTTATTCTTATCAGTGTAATGCCAGCATATAAATACAAAAACTATTTCTTGTTAAACAAAAGTGACCTATTAAATGCCTTTTCTATACCAATGAAGTGGAAAACTGTAGCACTTATATTTTTCATGGTGATACATTTTAATTAAAGATAGTATTTGTCAAGTATAGGAAATGTATAAAATCCAGTGAGTGTATTTGTTAAGAGTGTCAAAAACTGATATTTTGCATAAGAATATTTTCTGTAGTTGTTAATTAGACATACTACTTTACTGACTTCTACTTCATAAAGCCTCCAAATGTTAGGAAAAATCATGATTTGACAAAAAGCATATTCTACATCTAATATGGAAAGGAAAGGTGATTGCATATCTGTACTATTTTTAAATGTAAGAAAGATATCAACAAATAATATATTTGATACTTATATGACTAACTTAGCTATAGCAACTATAGTAAGAGACTGATTACTTTGTTCTTCTATATTAGCAATCTTACGTTTAAAGGAAAACTAAAGACCACTTGAAACAATCATCATTTACTAGGGTTTTAGAAGAGGTATTTCACTTTGGTGAGGATATTATATGTTTAGGTGCTCTGAAATTTGGGATATATCCCTAGATTTGTTAAAATTCCCGAGGCTACAGGAAAAAAGGAAATTCAAAGTTGATTTCCAAAATTTTCAAATGTTTTCAAAAGTAGCGTCCTACCTGGTAACTTTCTTTCCTATCAAATCACTTTCTGACTAAATATATTAAAATATTCACAAATATAGAGTATGTAAAGATACAGTCTTAAAGTATTTATTTAATATTATCTATATAAATTAATGTTACCCTGACTATCCTTTGAAGAGCACTCTCCTGGGAAATGTCAAAATCTCTGGCACATAAGGACCTTAGCATTTTTGGGGGAGCTTCTCTCAGGTGAGAACCCTACACCTATTTGAGACCCTACACTTATTGAGACCCATGTTTGGGCAGATATAGTATAAAGTTTTATAAGGTAATTCAATAGGTCAAATAAGATAAGCTCTATGATTCCCAAAAGATGCAAGAGAAACCTTTATTTAAAAAAATTCATATCTACCTTATTTCCCTCTGTAGGAAACAGGATGAAGTTTCCTCAAAAAGTTAAAAATAGAACTACCCTATGATCTGATCCGGTAATGGCACTACTGGGTAATTATCCAAAAAATACAAAAACACTAATTCAAAGAGATACATACACACCTATGTTTATTGCAGCATAGTTACAATAGCCAAACTATGGAAGCAGCCCAAGGGTCCATCAATTGATGAATGGATAAAGAAGAGGTGGTATGTATGTATATATATATATATATATACACATATATATATACACACATATATATACACACACACACAATGGAATATTATTCAGCCAGAAAAATGTGCCATACGCAATGACATGGATGGAGCTACAGAGTATAACGTTAAGCAAAATTAGGGAAAGACAAATATCATATGATTTCAATCATATGTGGAATTTAAGAAACAACAACAACAACAAAACGAGCAAAGGAAAGGGGGGGGGGGAGGCAAACCAAGCAACAAACTCTTAACTATAGAAAACAAATTGATGGTTACCAGAGGGGAGGTGGGTGAGGGGATGGGTGATGGGCATTAAGGAGGGCACTTGTCATGATGAGCACCGGGTGTTGCATGGAAGTGCTGAATCACTATATTTTACACCTGAAACTAATATTACACTGTATGTTAACTATACTGGAATGAAAAGAGAACTAACCTTCTCAATGCAAAATTACCTACATGAAACCAATATAACCATAACTGATGGGTAAGTATTAGAACAGTTTTGGTAAATTTCAAGAAATAGACCCTAGTATATGAATGATTAAGTAAGAATTACAATTAAGTGGAGAATAGTATTATGAATAACTGAAGCTAGAAAAATAATTGAAATGGATATAAAACTGTTGTAAAGATGACTCTCTAAATTTAAAGATAAGAAAAATCACAAAAGTAAAAATTATAAAACATTTTTTTATGTCCAGATATAAAAAGTCAAAGTGAGAAAATATACTTAAAAGGTAAATACTGATCCTCAATGAGCTAACATGTGTAAATCAACAAGAAAAAGACTAAGAAAACACAATTCACAAAGAAAGAAATACAAATGGACTATTAAATACTTGAAAAAATGTCTAACTTCATTAGTACTCAAAGAAAGGCAAATTAAGATAAAACAGAACTTTCTACTTTATTAACAAAGATCTTTAAAAATGACAATATTCAACCAAAGTATGTTCATAAACTAATACTAAAAGCTGGTGAAATTAGAATAATACTTTTGAAAATCAATTTGGCAACATGCATCAAAAAGTCTTAAAACTTTATCCTAATAATTACAAATATCTGTCAGCCATTTATGCATAAACATATCACATTGAAAAGATGGAAATAACTATTGTTCTATGACTCATTATGACTAATGCAAATTAAATAAGATATGACATATACAGTGAATGCAATGACATGGGTATTGCAAATTACAAATTAAGAATCACAAGAATAACAGGAAACATTCAGAAAGTACAGCAAGATGCCAAACAGCATACTCAGTACTATCATATGGCTACTATTAAAGGTAGAAAATTTTAAAACTCAAAGAAAGATGTGCCAAAATATTAAAAGGGATTTTTTTTTTTTTTTTTTTTTTTTGGATGGGAGGATATGGGCAATGGTCTTTTGATCAACTACTTTTTAGGTGTTTTCTGTAACACCGTATTATTTTTAAATTGGAAAAATAAAATGAACTTCGTTATTCTTAAAAATAAAATGCCTTCCCACCAACAGTGTAGGAGGTGGGTATTAAAGAGGGCACGTATTGAATGGAGCACTGGGTGTTATACACAAACAATGAATCGTGGAACACTACATCAAAACTAATGATGCAATGTATGATGATTAACATAACATAATAAAATTAAATTAAAAAAAATAAAATGCCTTCAGGAGAAAGGAAAATTTAAATGAAAACATTATTGAGATTATGTTAGATTGGATCTAACATTTCGTTAAAATTTTTGTTTCCTACCAGGTTTTAACTTTCCAGGTTGATAGAAGAGAATTGCTGAGAGGCCCTGTATGGACAGACCAGAGGGTCTGGGCAAACCCCACAAATACAGCCCATGTGCTTGCTATCAAGTAACTCATCCAGATGACACTTTGGCCAATACTAAATGAACTAATGTTCTAATATAAGAATGTCTGGTAAATTAGGCGTAGTCAATTATTTTAAGATGATTTCCAGAAACATTAAAATCAATGTTAAACCTTTCTGATCTCCATTTTAGTTAACACTTTTAAGATATTTTTGAGAACACTTCCTGAATTTCAAGTGTACTCTTCTAAACAAGAAGCTGTGCTTAGATGATTATCTTTTTCTCCTGGAAGAAACATGTGTGATACATTAAGGTACTCAGTTTGCTTTATTAAAGATAAAATATGTCTGTAAAAGTGAAAGTAAAAGAGGCAAAGAAGGCATCTCTGTCTACCCCTGGGGAAACTTTAGGTGAATTTGCAGCCCTGAGTTGTAAACTATGGTAATTTAGCAGTGAAGTTGATGGATTTTAATTAAAGCTTTCTGTAATCCTTAGTGGCTTAGAGGTGGAAGAACCAGAATTTTGAGGGAGTGAAATGTAACTACAATTTACTTAATTCTTCCGCTTCTAAGTTAGTGATATCTTCTAGCTTTGGAATATATACATAGATATCTTTGTAAAACTGTAATTTTTCCACTTTTAAGAGCTTTTTATTAAAGAAAATTTCAAAATATACAGAAGTAGAGCCAATGCTATAGTGAACACACCCTTCCTTCTGAGCACCCATCACCCAAGTTTAGCAATTATTATTTATAGCCAATCTTGTTTCATCTACACACCCACCTATTTTCCTGGTCATGCTAGACTATTTTGATTGAAATCGCAGACATACTTTTGTCTGTAAAATTTCAGGATAAGTCTCTAAAAGATACTTTATAATATATTCGCAACAACACTGTCATGTCTACAGGGAAAAAAAGTTCAAGTATTTCAGACTGCCTTTGTCTACACTTGTTTGGATTAGAATATACGTAAGTTCCATTTGTTGCAATTGGTTGATAAGTCTCTTAAGACTCTTTTAATCAATACATTTCCCTCCATCACTTTTTCCCTCCCTTAGAATATTTTGTTGAAAAAAACAAGTTACTTGTCCAATAGAATTTCCCAGTTTTCTATAGTTGTTAATTTATTGATTGACATAAACTATTACAGATTGGTTACTGAAGTAGCAGTCAAAACAGTGCGAATATACTGGGACTACAAGAATAGACCAGGGGACCAGTATTACCTACAACAAATGACCAGTTAGGATAAAAGCACTACTTGTGAGTAAACTAAGGGGGGAAAGCCATTTAAAAAAAAAAATGCTCTACAGCTTAACTATATAAATAGGTGATCATATCTTCTTTTTTCACAGTTTATTAAACTGCTAATAACCAGTACAAATAGCAAAGCTGACAGTACTCACCAGTCTTCATTTCTAATAAGCGCTTTTTCTTTTGTTGGCGTTCAAGCCTTTCCTTCTCTGCCAATTCTTTGGCTATTTGGGCACGTTTTTCCCTTTCCTCTGCTTCTCTTTTTTTGACGTTCTCCTTTCTTGCTTGCTGTTACAAACAAGTTTTGGAAAATGATCAATTTTAACCACAGCGACTCCACAAAAATTATTAATCTGTAGAACTGTGATTAAGTATCTTTTAGATAATGGCTACTTCTAATATTAGTAACACAGTCTTTTAAAAGATTAGCACAGGAACCCTTGTTAAACATGGATCTATAAATACAACTTATGCTTGAAGCACCTGCATCTTAGTGGAATCAACTAAGAGAAGGAGACAGAAACTAAAAATAAAAAAGCATTTAATTTACAAATCAAAACTGTTTCCCTGTATGTATTTCCAAAAGAGGGTCTAGCAAATGTATTAGAGCCTCTCATACATCCTCTGCTAGGTAACTACGGAGTACCAGAGAAGTAGTCAAAGGAATGATAGAAAAGAGCTGAAATTTTGCAATGATTGTTTCATATTACAGTCCATCATTTAACAATTTCTTTCACATGAACACAAGTGTCATAGGATGACTACAGGAATATTTGGCATTTCAAAGCTAGACCTCTGACTTCTCCTCAAAACCAGTAACATGTGAACTATAGGATCCTGAACAGATATGTGATTTAATTCTTTATTTTCTAAGTTTTGTACAAATCAAGTAACACCTCTCACATGGCATTAGTGTGAATTAACAGGTAAACAAGGATTTTTCTATGTGCCAACAAACAGCGTAGCATATATTACAATCTCCTATTGTGATTCTCAGTACCAAGGGATGAAAACAGACTATCTAATTGCTTGTTTATCACTAATAGTATTAAACAGAAACATGCATAACTAAACTTTAACAAGTAGGTGGCTTATGTTATTTTTGGGGGAAACTTTCATTTCTCTACTGTCATAGTCTTTGGTTTTGTTAACCCTAGAGAGAGTACATGGTCTTCATTAGAAATCAAAAGGCAAAATTTAATATTATTGACCAAAATGATGAAAAGTACATGGGAAAAAAAAGGAGGAAGAAAAAGCCTAGGTTGGAAGCAATATTAATTCGTCCATCCACCCCTTCATGCAGTAAATACTGAGACACCGAATAATAAGTGGTGTTATGCTAATACCGCTTGGCATATATATATATATATATATATATATATATATATAT